TTTCATACCATTGTGATCTGAGAAGATGCTTGATAGGATTTCAATCTTCTTGAACTTGTAGAGACTCAGTTTGTGTCCTAACATGTGGTCTATGAGAATGTCCCATGTGCACTTGAGAAGAATGTGAATTCTGTAGTTTTGGGGTATAATTATCTGCAGATAGCTATTAAATCCATTTGATCTAGTGCATCATTTAGAGTTTCTTTTTCCATGTTCAATTTTTTTTCTAGAGGATCTATCCAGTGATGTCAGTGGGGTGCTGAAATCCCCTGCCATGATTGTATTGCTATTGATTTCTCCATTGAAGTCCTCCAGAAGTTTTTAAATGTATTTTGGTGCTCTCATGGTGGGTACATATATGTTTACCAAGATTATATCTTCCTTTTGGATAGATCCTTTCAATATAATGTAGTGGCTTTCTTTGTCTCTAGTTATGGCCTTCACTTTTAAGTCTATTTTATCACATATGAGTACTGCTACTCCAGCTTTTTTTCCCTTTCTGTTTTCTTGGAAAAATTTTTTTCTATCCCTTCACTTTCAACCTATGTGTGTCTTTTGTTGTGAGGTGGGTCTCTTGTAAACAACATGTATATGAGTCATGCTTTCTTATCCAATCAGCTACTCTTTGTCTTTTTATGGGAGCATTCAATCCATTTACACTTAAGGTGATTATTGATATGTACTTATTTACTGCCATTTTTGTTTAGTGTGGTTCTATTTTTCTTCCCATTTCTCCTGCTAATTACAGCAGTCCTTTTAACATTTCTTGCAGTGCTGGTTTGGTGCTAATGTATTCCCTTAGCCTTTTTTTGTCTGGGAAGCTCTTTATTTGACCTTCTATTTTGAATGATAGCCCTGCTGGATAGAGTAATCTTGGATTCAGATCCTTGTTTTTCATGACCTTGATTACTTCATGCCATTCCCTTCTGGCCTGTAGTGTTTCTGTTGAGAAGTCAGCTGACAGTCTTATGGGGGTTCCTTTGCAGGGAACCTGTTGCTTATCTCTTTCTGCCTTTAGGATTCTCTCTTTGTCTTTAATTTTTGGCATTTTAATTATTATGTGTCTTGGTGTGGGCCTGTTTGTGTTCTTCTAACTTAGGGCTCTCAGTGCTTCCTCTTTTTTTTTTTTGTGGTAAATGCCCCTAACTGAATCCGGGACTCTCTGGTCCTAAGGTTGACGCTCAACCGCTGAGCCAAACTGGCCAAGGCCTCTCAGTGCTTCTTGAACTTATGCCTTTTTCCTTCACCAAGCTAGGGAAGTTTTCTGTCACTATTTCTTCAAATATATTCTCTAACCCTTGCTCATTTTCATTTTCTTCTTCTGGTACTCCTATGGTGTGGATGTTGTTATGTTTCATATTGTCCCACAGTTCTTTTCGGTGGTCTTCCTTTTTTTTTTTTTCCATTGTTTTTTCTTTCTGGTTCTCTGGGTGATTTTTTTATACCCTGCCTTCTAATTCACTGATCCGGTCCTTGGCTTCCTCTACTCTGCTGTTATTCCTCCCAATGTGTTATTTCTGCTATGTCATTCTTCATTTCCAATTGCTTTTCAATGCTTCTATGTCTTTCCTTATGCTGTTGAATTTCTTCATGATTATTACTCTGAACTCTCTCTCTCTCTGATATCTTGCTCAATTCCATTTCATTTATTTCATCTTCTGTCAAATTATCTTGTTCTCTCATTTGGGATTTGTTTCTTTGTTTTACCATTTTCGCTGTCTCAATGGGTTTTAGAGCCTGCCAAATTTTCCCTGTGGGTGTCGGTGTTCCGCTGGTTATGGCTCCCCCCACTGGGTTTGGATGAGTGTGGGAGGACCCACATTAAACACCAGTGTCAAATCTTACTTTCCTGGGTAGAACTGCAAGCCAAGTAAAAGTTCAGTTATCCTCTAGATTTTGCCTGGAGACTATTAGTCTTGATGAGCCTTGATTTTTAGCCCTTAGCTGAATAAAAAATTCCTCAGGTTAAGAGGATTTCCATTGGATGGGGCACTTGCTTGCTCTCAGATTCTAGATGTTAATGAGCCTCAATCTGCATTTTTCTGGCAGGCCTTGTGGTGTTGAATTACTGAGGGAGGGACCTTTGCTTCTCCTGGGGCTCTGGGAAGAGGTTATTTGAGTAATATGGCTACTGTCCTGTGAAAGAGTGATTCAGCACAAAATTCCTGGTGTCCTCCCCTCCAGCTCTCTCCTGAGCCAGGAGCCCAGATTCTCTCCACATAGTTCCAGTCCAGTCCTCCCTCCCTCTGCCAGAGCCCCAGGTTAGTGGCTATAGCTTATTTGATGATTTTCAAAATCCCTGCTTTCTTAGTGGGAAGTGCACACAGCTAATACAGCCCTCTGCTGCTGTCTGTGGTCTCTCAGCTCACCTTCATGTGCCTCCACAGTTCCTACCAGGCTTGATTTGGCATCCTCTTTCTGTCCCTCATTATATGGGTTCTCTCCAGCTGCTTTTCACTTATTTTTTTCCCAATGATTTGTCTTTATTTTAGTTATTCCAGTTTGGTCCTGGGAGATAGTCTGTGTAGCTTCCATTCACTTTTACACCATTTTTCCTCAACCTACATTACATGGCAGCCATCTGAATCCAGGCTTCCTGTTCCAGTGTAGATTTCTTTGGATTTGTTTGTTTATTCACTTAGTTAGTTATTATTTTTGTTAATCCTCACCCAAGGATATTTTTCCATTGATTTATAGATAGGGTTGGAAGGAGGGAGGGAGAGAGAAACATTGATGTGAAAGAAACACATCGATTGGTTGCCTCCCACACTACCCTAACTAGGGCTGGGGATCAAATCTGCAAACCAGGTACAAGCCCTTGACCAGAAATCGAACCCTTATCCCTTTTGTCCTCGGGCCAATTCTCTAACCACCGAGCTAAACCAGCCAGGGCTGGGTCATTTTATTTGCAGTTCTTAGGGCTTCCTTCCCCAGATTTGGGATTTTTTTAGCTATTGTTTCTATGAATAAACCTCTTTCTCTCTCTCTCTTCTCCCTCTGGAATAAATATTTTGATCTGTTTGATTTTGTACCATAAGTTTCTCAAGCTTTCTTCACTCTTTGAGTTTATCAGTTCTTTCTTGTTTGATCTAGTATGCTACTGGATTCTTTTATTAGATTTTTCAGTTCATTTATTATATTCCTTAGCTCTAAGATTTCTGTTTGGTTCTTTTAAAAGCCTCTATGCCTTTCTTGGAATTCTCACTTCTTTTATGCATTGCTCTCCTAAGCTCATTGAACATCTTTATGACAATTATTTTGAATTCTCTCAGGTAATTTATGTCTTATTGGAGCTTTATCTTACTCCTTTCTTTGGACCATGTTTCCTGGTTTCTTCATTTTCTTCGATTCTTTGTGTTGATATCTGCATGTTAGAAAAAATAGCCACCTCTCAGTCGTCATGACTAGCCTCAAACAGAAGACTCTCACCAATCAGCCTGCTCAGAAACTCTGGGATCCTCTCAAACCTTCTTCCTAGTCAAAACCACCATCTTTGTTCTTAGTAGCCACCAGGTATCTAAAGTATACCAGGTGTCATCAGTGCTCTGGGACAGGTGAGATAGAAGCCATTTCCTAGGGCAGCCACCAACTCTTACCCCTCCCAGAGAGAAGCTGGAACATAGTGAATACTTGCATGCTAGACCAAATTGCTATCTTTGTTCTCAACAAAGGAACAATTTCTATAGTGAAATAACTTAATATTGAAATTATTTTCTCACCCACCAGGCTTCTAGAGTATGTCAAGTTCCATCAGCACTCTGGAATAGGCAAGACAGTATCCAATCACTTGGGTAGCTCCCAGAAAATTTAGAATATCTGATGCATAGTTCAGTCCTTTCCTTCCCTCCCCAGAGAGAAGCTGGGAGCGAGGGATTTCATGCCAATTATACGGCACTGTGCTGGAGGTGGGTTTATGATGAGAGGGTGTCTTGAATTTTCCTCCTGGCTTTGATGTGGCCGGTTTCACATTTTTCTGGAGTTAAGAAGCCCCTCAATTAGTTTCTAGATTTCTCACAGATATAATTAGTCCACATATTGCTGTTGAATTGGTATGTCTATGAGGGAAGAAGGGTCTAGGGCTTCCTATTCTGATGTCACTCCCATATTTTCTTTGTTTTTATCTCTGTTTTATGTTAGAGGCTTTCCTCAGAAGTCTAGTGATCCCTGGCTCTCTGCTGGTATTTAAGAGGGAGCCCTAAAAGCCTAAGTGGAATTTCTATGGCCTATTTGTGGTTTGTTACATAGTCAGTTTCACTGTAGGGGTTCTTGTCCGTTTTATCAAAGGACTACTATAGTCACTATCTTTAGATATTTTCTTTAGGGATGCTCAGATTTCTTAGGAAAGTGTCTTCCATTATCTTGTCTGGAAGGTTAAAATCTGGGTGCTAGAATTCTGGATACTGAGCAGAGAAATGAGCTATTGGGCTGGGATGGGGATAGGCACTGGGTGAGCAGGTCCCACAATTTAGATGTAGAGTTTCATTTAAATTATCCCTCTTCTGGGTTCAATATAATATCTGAAGAAGTGGCTTTTCTGCAGAATAAATAACCTCAAAATCTGTGGCATAAACTGAAAGCATTTATTTATTATCCCCATGTCTACTGGTTGGCTCAGGCAGCTCTGCTTCAGATAATAGGTCTGCTGATCAAGTAGGCAGCCCTCTGTACTCTGCAGGTTGCCTGGTCTGTTCTGCTCTGTACCTGTCATTCAGCGGTCCCACAGAAGAGGCTGAAGCTAATTAGGATATATTCTTCTCTTGATGGAAAAAGTATAAGAGCACGACCATTTAAGCATATTTCAAAGGTCTGCATATATTTTATTCACTAGTAACCTGTTCAAAGCAAGGCACATTACCAACTCCAAAGCCAACGTGTGAAAAGGAGGTTTTGGTGAGGAAGACAAGTATGCCTTCTCAAAAAGATCATTATTCATTGGAAGACTATGAACAAAGGAACAATTTCTATAGTGAAATAACTTAACATTGAAATTATTTTCTCACCTAAATAATGTGATCCTCTGAAGAGTTCAGGTGATGGGAAGCTACTTAAATTCTCTTCAAAACTCTTGTATTCTGTATAATAATCTGTGTCTGAATAGCTCAGAAGAGAACCAGAAATATCATGCTGTGAACTTGGTCCTGTAGAATTAACAAACAAACAAAAAGGGTAAAATGTTTCAATAGTAAACAGACACAAAATCCTAAGAACTCAAATTTGTAGAAATGTAAATGCAGTTGTATGTTAAGAATGTAAAATTACTTCCACATACAATTGGTAAATCATTTTAATTTCATCTTAGAAAATAATTCTGTTTTTGATGTAGATAAAATGCATTCTAATCCTTTTCCACTGTTTTTCAAAGTTTTACAACTTATTCCTTGCTTACTTTGGTTCAGTTATGATTCTTGACTCAAAAACCTAAATTTTAAAAAGTTACCCACTAACTAGCTGAAGAAAAGAAAGGGTAATTCTAGTTATTCCATCTAGAAAACAATGTGCCGCCCTGGCCAGTTGCTCAGTGATTAGAGCATTAGCCTGCAGACCAATGAGTCACATGTTCAATTCTGGTCAAGGGCATGTACCTTGGTTGTCGTTCACCCCCAGCCCTGATCAGGTCGTGTGGGAGGCAACCAGTCGATGTGGCTCTATTACATTGATGCTTCTCTCTTTCTCTCTAACTCCCTCCCACTCTATCTGATAATAAATAGAAAAATATCCTCAGGTGAGGAATAAAAAAAAAAAAACCCAACATGCCTAAACATAGACAAATAGATCAAAGGAACTGAACAGCAAGCCCAAAAATCAGTTGCTCACACATATATGAGCAATTGATTAAAAAAAATTTTTTTCTTTATTGATATTAGAGGGAGGGAGAGAGAGACTGAGATACACCAATGAGAGAGAACATCAATTGGCCACTTCCTGCATGCCCCCAACTGGGGATCAGGCCCACAACCTGGGCATGTGTGCTGACAGGAAATCGAACCGGCGACCTCTTGGTACATGGGTTGATGCTCAACCACTGAGCCACGCCAGCTGGGCTAAGCAACTGATTTTTTTTTTTTTTATCCTTACCCGAGGACATTTTTTACATTTATCTTCAGATGGAGCGGGAGGAGAGAGGAGGGAAGAGAAAGAGAGACAAACATCAATGTGAGAGAGACACATCGACTGTCTGCCACCCACACAACCCCAACCAGGGCCGAGGACAAACTGCAACCAAGGTACATACCCTTAATGGGAACTGAACCCGGGACTCTCTGGTCCACGGGCCGACGCTCTAACCACTGAGGAAACCAGTCAGGGCTGAGGAACTGATTTTTGACGAAGATGCAAAGGCACTTCAGTGCTGAAAGGATATTCTTTTTAAAAGTTATGTCAGAACAATTGAATATCCATATGCAAAAGCAAAAAAAACCCAAAAAATTTGCACTCATACCTCCAATCATATAAAAAATTAACTCTAAATGGATCATAGATTTAAATATAAATCCTAAAACTATAAAACTTCCAGAAAAAAACAACAACAGAGAAAATCTTCATTATACTGGTTAGAGTTCTTTGATATAACAATAAAATGATGAGTCATTAAATCAATAGCAATGATAAATTGGACTTCATCATATTCAAAATTTTCTCCTCCAAAGAGACTGCTAAAATGAAAAAAAAAAAAAGCCACAGATTAAGAGAAAACATTTGCAAATGGAATGGAATCCAGAATATTAAAAACTCTGAAAACTCAATAATAAGGAAAAAAAATCTCAATTAAGAAAATGGGTAAAATATTTTAACATGGAACCTCCCAGACTCAATGGTCTTAAAGTCATCCTTGTGAGAGTGGAAAGAATAAAATATTTTCCAATAAGTTAATGTGATAGAACTGAGTACTAAAAGTTAAGAACCAGAAGGTAAAATAAGAAAAGGGAAAATATGCAGTAGTCAGCATTTATTAAACACTTCCAACGTGACAAAATAGAGGTCAACACTAATAGAAACTGGCGGGCTGGGGATTAAGGGATGAAAGGGGAGCACTGCTCTGAAAACCTATTATCCCCTGCCCTGAAGCTGATGTATGCCTATCTCTGTTCATCCACTACCTACTTAAGATAACTAACTCTGTTCATCCTACTGTGAACTCATCACACCTTTCTCTCCCACTCCAACCCTCTCCTTAAAGTTGACAATTGTTTCCTACCTGGCCACTTCCTCCTGCCACCACTGCAACACTTAAATTGATTGACCCAATCTACCACCCTTCTTCACTTAGTTAAATGTCAGAGGTAGGTTATTCCTCTGAGTATCTTTTGTTTCCCCTACTCCAAGAGTGTCCTGTCCCAGTTCTTGTTATTTTTCACCCTTCTCAGTCTTTCATCTTTTCCACTCACATGGTGTTACATCTCTCATCTTTCTTCTCTCAAAATTCTATGAATACTACTCATAGGAGAGCTATCCCTTCCACCAAACCCCAGAACTCAACCAGGCTCAAATTAGGAAAGCCCCATACTCACCATATGAGTTGTTGGGTAGAGAAAAGAATAAATAAATGTTCATGACTATATCAGTTGGAGGTTGTTCCTGGTGTCACAAGTTAGAAATGTAAATGCATTTAAAATTACATTTATATTAAATTATATTATGCAGTTTAAAAAAGTCATATAGTTCTACAATGCTTATAACAAAAGTTACAATCTCTTCTCATACCTACTCATCATAATTCCCTACTCTCTAGAGGCAACTACTTTTAACTCAATTATTAACTCTCTTTTAAGGATACCTTTATATTTCTAAATCAAATGTATTAAAAAATTCTATTATTATGACTGTTCAAATATATTTACAAATGAGTCATGTACTATGAGCTTCATTCATCACCATTTTGCTATAAGCATTTGTTTTTTCTTGGAGTTGATTAGCTAATTTTAAACTCATTTTCTAAGTACCCATCACTATTTCATTCCAACTTTCTTGAAAAAGTGTAAATTTCCTCTCAATATTTTAAAAAACACCAGGTTATCTATCAGTTCCCTTTTCTTTCTTTTCTTTACTTTCCATTCTTCCTCCCTCCCTTTCTCTTTTTCCTCTTATCCCCCACTCCCTTTGAAAAGAGTACTGCAATTGGAGATCACAATATACTCGCTCAAATTTAGACTGGTTGTCCTCTAGACATGTTGCACAGGTGTCTTCTTGGAATTTCCCTTTACCCTAATCCTAAATTTTTTCCACATATTTCCTGTATTAGAGCCTTTGACTCCTGGATCCATGATTTCTTCTTTATTGATTTATTCTCTGGTTTTCTCAGAGTACCTGTCTAAAAATTTCTTTATACTGTCTTCATACTTGAGTGACTGTTTGGCTGGGTATAGAATTCTAGACTAATATATTAAAAAGACTGATTCCATTGTTTACTGTTTGACAGATTAAACCTCACTGCTCCCTATTCCTCTTCTGTTCCACATCTGGGCAAGCTGATACAAAACCCCTGGCAGCAAGTTAAAACCATGAACAGGGCCCTGGCTGGTTTGGCTCAGCAGTTAGAACGTTGGCCCACAGACCAGAGAGTCCTGTGTTAGGTTCCCGCTAAGGGCACGTATTTCGGTTGCAGTTTGTCCCCAGCCTCAGTTGGGGTTGTGTGGGTGGCAGCTGGTCGATGTGTCTCTCTCACATCGCTGTTTCTCTCTCTCTCTTCCTCCCTCTCTCTCTCCAGCTCTTTCTGAAGATAAATGCAAAAAAATGTCCTCGGGTAGGATAAAAACAAAACAAACAAACAAAAAAACCCATGCACAGGGAAACTCATTCCAGGTCCATCTTCCAACCACATAAAAACCCCAACTCAGTCTCCTTTCTCTGCTCTCTCAAGCTGTTTTCAGGCCTGCGTTGCAGATGCCCTCTTCTCCAGAAAACCTCATTATATGAATAATAAACCTTTCCATTCCCTCTTGATATGTGGGTGGCATCAGCAGTCCAAACTAAATTTTGGGTGGGGACCCATCCGGTCTCTGTAAAATTAGTTCTCTTTAGAATTTTAAATGCATTTTTCTACCATATTCTAGCTTCTGGAGTTACTCTTGAGAAGGTCAAAGCCATTCATATTCTTTTTTTTTTTAATCCTCACCCAAGAACATTTTTCCATTTATCTTTAGACAGATTAGAAGGGAGGGAGAGAGACAGACAGTGAGAGAAACATTGTTTCGAGAGAGACACATCGATTGGTTGCCTCCCGCATGACCTCGACCAGGGCCGGGGACGAACAGCAACCGAGGTATGTGCCCTTGGCCAGAATCAAACCTGGGTCTCATTGGTCCATGGGTCGACACTCTAACTGCTAAACCAAACCAACCAGGGCCCATTCATATTCTTAATTGCTTATTTGTAATCAACAATTTTTTTTCCCCTTTAGAAGACTGAAGGATTTCTTTGTCCTGAGGATTTTAAAATTACATAATATTATGCCCTCGTGTGGGTTTGTCTTCATTCACTGTGATGGGAAGTTGGTGGTTTTTTTCAGTATATACATTCATGACCTTTTTAATTCTAGACAAATTTATATTGTGTTTAATAATTTCCTTTCTTCTTACAACGTCTGGAACTACATTTTTCAAGATGTTAGAATGCCTGAACTCATATTGTAATTATTTTTCTTTTTTAAATAGCATCTTTATTTAAATAAAATTTATATTCCATAAGCCTCAACCTTTTAAAGTGTACAGTTTGGTGGTTTTTAGTTTACTCACAATTGTGTATCAATGCCACTATTTTTATCTTTTATTTTCTCTTTAATTTTGTTCAACTTATAGAATATTTCTTTAAATTCATCATCTAATCCTTCATAGAATATTTTATTTCTGATTTCTTTTTTTTTTATCCTCACCCGAGGACATTTTTTGCATTCATCTTCAGACAGAGCAGGAGGGAGAAGAGGGAGGAAGAGAGAGAAACATCGATGTGAGAGAGACACATCGACTAGCTGCCACCCACACACCCCCAACCAGGGCTGAGGACAAACTGCAACTGAGGTACGTGCCCTTAGTGGGAACTGAACCCAGGTCTCTCTGGACTGCGGGCCAATCCTCTAACTGCTGAGCCAAACTGGCCAGGGTTGATTTCATATTTTTAAAGAATTCCTTCTGTTCTCTCAATG